GGACTGAAGCAGAATATAAGTTGTATTCACCCTATTTCGAGTAGGGTGATGAAGAACTGGTAGATGATTTATCCCACAATGATATGAGTAGAGCTGAAGTTTCCTCCAAAATGTGATAGTCGCTCTACTTGGTTTGAGTAGACTCACTGAATAGCTATCACTAAATCCGCTCAAAAGGGCAGATCTGAATTAGATTTAGATAAGCAAGAAAGTGTGACAGAGAAGAGGTGATACGAGAATATGGGATGGACAACTCTTTGTTCAACAAAGAGTTTGTCATAGGATGGTCTTCACTTGTCTTTGACGCGTTGTAGTGTGGTGCTAAAAAGGGTAAAGCTCATTGACGATGCCGACTAAAATGTGGGAGAAATGTCTGGGAATGTACCAAGTCCACTGTCCCGCTTTCGAGGCTACCAGTAAATCAGATCACCCTATTTCGTTTAAGGTGATGAGTAAAGCTGATCTTTTCCATTGAATTTCACATAGCCTTGCTTTCCCAAACGGTTTTCTGATTCAGGCTGAAGTGGACTACAGTTTCGACCTCGTCAAAAGAAGTAATGTCATCGTTTGCTATAGCAAATATAAGTTTACTTCATCGACAATCCCAAGACAGAATGAGATTTGGAAAATGCCTGACATTTCCCTGAAATTCACATCTTCCTCGTGACCCGAGGGCCTTCGTGGCAATGTGGCGTAACGGTTGACGTGTCGAGCCTACACCCTGCACTGTCATGGTTCGACTCCCGCTTGGGTGTCACTAAAACCTATGCGAGGTTGCAACTGCAGTCTACTCTGGATGGGAACATCTTTTTGGAAGGCAAAGCTGTGTGAGATTCAATGGAAAACATCAGCTCTACTCATGTCATTGTGGGAAAAATCAACTGCTGGTCCTTCATCACATTAAACGAAATAGGGTGAATAAAACTCACATATCCTATTTACTGGTAGTCTTGAAAACCTGTTCACTGAAGAAAAAAACTGAAGGAGAATGCCTCATGGCCTGCATTAATCTGAACATCATAGTTTCGCCTAACAACAGCAGAGCAACAGTTATCCGCCGTGGTCTTTTGGTGCTATCGACTTGTGAAGCTCTTCCACTTGCCTTTTCACATGAAATAAATGCCACTGAAAGACTGAAACTACACGCTGACTTGAGAGTGAAGAGGTGGCTGGTAGTCGAGTCGGTAAAGGGACTGCAGGATTCTGGTACTTGTGCTTCCTACCACACGACGACCCAGGTCCTTCCTGGAAGAATACCTCCGGGGTTAACAGAGCCTGGCATGTTGAACAAGCTGAGCTATCCTCCTGTTGCTCCGCTCGGTCTGCAGGTCACTCGTCGCGTTGCTGCTCATCTTGTAGCAACTCCACAAAACAAGCATTAACTTCACTTCATCGTGAACAGA